TGGGACTACAGGCGCCTGCCACGACAGCTGGCTATTTTTTGGTTGTAGTTGTCATTGTTTGGCAGGCCCAGGCTGGGTTTGAACCCGCCAGCTCTGGTATATGTGGCTTGGCTGAGCTATAGGCACCAAGCCACAGTTGTTGTTTAACAGGCCCCAGCCACGTTTGAACCTGCCTGCCTTGGTGTATGTGGCCGGTGCCCTAACCACTGAGCTATGGGCACCCAACCTATTATTCTTATTTATGACAAAACTAAGTCGTCGTGAGTTTAAGGAATTTGACCAAGGTCACACAGGTATTAAGCAGCAGAGGTAGGACTTGAACCTAAAGTGATGTCAAGCCTCTTGCCCTGAAACTCTAAACTAAAGGCAACTATCAGAGCCACACCTACTCTGGTAAAATTCTTTCTGCCCAGTGACATAGAAGACTTTAGCTTCCTTCATGCCTTCTGTGTGCTGCTCCCAGGAAATGCTAATTCTTGCCCTGAAAGGCAAAGAGACTGGTTGAACCTTGGCCTGTTCATATCCTGATCCTTTAGGGCAATGATTCTCAAACCATGGGCCACTATCCTGAAGGCCAGCAGGCCAGAATATCAGCTGGGTGGGGATGGACATAATTGAAAAAGGCATATCTAAGAGTACTAGTTTGGAAAAATGGAGGAAATAACTAATTTTATTGACAACATACCATAGGAACTAGTGCTGAGCAAACAACTCTGGTTAGAGGAGTTAAGATACAGGCTCAGTGGCTTCTGAGGAAAGATCTTGAACTATCTCTTCCTCCCTGACTACATTAGTCCTTCCAGTTGCCTCTTTCCAAAATGACCTGAGCCAGGGTGGCCCAGGGAGCCACAACACTAATTCCAAGGGGCAGGACAGCCAGTCCCTGGAGAAGGAGAAGAGCAAACTGCTGGCTGAGGCAGCAGTTGAGCTGCGAGAGGAAAACACAAGGCAGGAACGGATTCTGGCTCTTGCCAAGCGACTGGCCGTGCTGCGGGGACAGGACCCTGATAGAGGTAAAGGCTGGAAAACAGCCACTCACTCATGTCCATTGGTCAAGGCCTCCCCTCACCCCCAGGCCAAGCACTTCCACCCAGGGCTTAGTTAAATGCTGGGGGTCCCAGTGCCCAGAGATCTGTTGAGCCCTTCCCGGAGCCACAGCAGAGGAACCTTCAGTCCATTCAGGTGCCCCCTGAGCCTTTCAGGGCTGGGACAGGGAGGGAGAGAATCTGATCCAAGTGGCTGAAGAGGCTTCACAGCTCTGAGAACTGAACTAGTTCTGGGCAGCCACTCAGGTGAAATCTCACTCTTAACTCCTCCTCTGCATGTTCTTGTCGCTTCTTCTTCAAGTGACCCTCCAGGACTATCGCCTCCCAGATAGTGATGATGATGAGGATGAGGAGACCGCCATCCAGAAAGTCCTCCAGCAGGTTGGCTCTGGCTTACCCACCCAAGCACCCCTTGTCTTGCTGCCTCATTGCTCCCCCTCTGGCCTGGCCCCATTTACCCTGCCTCCTCTTTAAGGTTGGATGGATAGTCACTCTGCACCTTCTATTCTCTTTTTTTTTTTTTTTAATTATTTATTTATTTATTTGGTTGCAGCTTTTGGCTGGGGCTGGGTTTGAACCCACCACCTCTGGTATATGGGGCCGGCGCCCTACTCTTGAACCAGAGGCGCCACCCTGCACCTTCTATTCTCATAGGGCCACATTGTCCCTGTGGCCCAGATCTGCCCTCTGGTATCTTGGGATGGGGAATCAGCAGCCACAGGCAGGAGAACCAGGAAGATAAGTTCAGAAGCTAAGGCCACAGAGCAGAGAGATACTGGGAGATGGCCTGGCCTGGAACAGGGAGCGTTATCTCTTCACCCCATCCACAGCTCACTGAAGAAGCTGCCCTGGATGAGTCAAGTGGCTTTAACATCCCTGTGGAGCCAGCTCCCCAACCCCGGGCCCAACCCTGCAGGGCAGAACCTGAGGTGAGAAAAGCTCTAGACACAGACCCCCAGACAGCCTGTAGCCCTGCTGCCTGCTTGGCTGACTGCTCCCATAGCAGCCTCCCAAACACCACCAGGTGTTTTACTTCTCCCATTCCCCTCTGGTCCATAAAGGCCCAGGCTGTGAACCCCAGGCCTGAGGCTGAGGACGAGGAGCTCCCCTGGTGCTGTATCTGCAATGAGGATGCCACCCTGCGCTGTGCTGGCTGTGATGGAGATCTCTACTGTGCCCGCTGCTTCCGGTAGGTGCAGGGAGCATATCCTGTGGGAGGGCTCCAGGGCATCCTGGATTCCCTGACCTGCATCCCTTTGCTCCACAGGGAGGGCCATGATGCCTTTGATCTCAAGGAACACCAGACATCTGTCTACCACCGCCTACATGTAAGCTGAGAGCACTGAGAAAATTGTGGGCCTTCCATCAAGGCAGTCCCACGGGCTGGGGCACCTATCTCTGGGCCCAGTCTGAGGGTGTCCAGTGGGAGAACATGTCTGGCTATATTGATGATGGATACACCCCTTCCTGAGCCTCCATATCCCTGGAGTGAGAAGAGTCTCCATTTGAGACAGTGACTGGAGGTGCCAGTAGGAAGGAGAAGTAGGAGCCAAGACTGGAAGTGAGAAGAGAAAGACCAGACAGAATCTGAGATGAACCCTATAACCTGGCTCAGGGCCCAGGACCCTTTCCTGGTACTTAATGGATCTAATAAAATATCCGCTTTATTGATTCATTGGGCCCGGCTTCTCTTATTTCTAGAACCTTGTGAGCCCTGAGCTTGGGCCCTGCGAGAGGTGGCAAAATCAGGGTAGGCTATAAGCATAGCCTTATGGAATGAGAGGAAAGGTTGAACCATCCAGTAAGCTTCTCCAGGCAGGAATCTTGGTGTCCTAATACAAAGTAAGCACGAAGATGCATTAACCTGAACTGTGCTTCCTGCTTGGGGCAGGCCAGCTTAAACACCAGGCCCAACCATCTTGGATTTCTCAGCCTCTCTGCTACTCAAACAATGTATTCAGGAACAAAGGATACCTACTCTGCTTTCCTGCCTTCCTCATAAAGCCCCATGTCCCAGGGCTCCTATCCCAACCTATATGCCATATAGACCCAGTATCTGACTTCTGGCAATTCCCCCTGACCCAATCTCTAACTTCTCAGCCTGGACCCTTTACACTCCTACACTCCTCTGCCCAGCTTTTGCTTTTTCTTTTTTTTTTTT